GTGAAGAGGGATGAAAGTCCTCCCTTCGAAGTTGGCATCGATTGGTACATCCTGACTGCCGGCTTGGGGTCCGATAGACGATGAACGCATTTGGTTGGACACACTTGCTGATATGGCGAACAGCCTACGTCAGTGACACATGTGTTTTCTTTTTCCATCCTGTTTCCTTTAGATTCCCCTTTCAATCACCTTCTAAATAAATTAATAACATGATATTTAACGTTATATTACTTGTATTAGTGTTTTTCGTGTGTTTTGTATTTCGGCACCCTACCTGAGGTCTGTACCTCAGCTAAGGTGTGTTGTCGATGATGATAATGGATAGGACGAGTCTTTGGGGCAAAGGTATGTTTGTTTCTACATTTTTGGGTGCGCCTCCTTCCATCGGGAGGAGGTTTGTTTATTTTGTAGTGGAAACCATTTGCTCACTAAGTTGTGTTGCAAAGTAGCAACAGCAGAAAGTATATCTGCGAAGTCCAATTTTGATCTTTTTGGGCCTCTCAATTGCAACCTTTGAAGAATCCTGATAACGAACATTTTTTCAACTTTGGTAGATTACGGAACGGCGCTCACAATCTATCGCGGATAATTTTTAGGAGTTTGCGTTTTACTATTCGGTTGCTACCTGGCCGTATTCGGACAGCAACAAACTATTAAGTTGTAGTAGTACTTTTCTACAGAACGACCAGTAGCTTAGTGCATCCGGAAGGATTGATTAATGAATGTGCCTTTGCATTCGTATAAATTTGCGGAGTGACTTTCTTATTTATTTCTTGTCAGCGCCAGTCAACCCTTTGAGTCCTGAATTACTTTACCTATAGCTCGACATGAGCTACCAGAACTTACTCCACACACTGTGGAGTGATGTATCGGAGTTATGGCCTTTACTTAATTGTTGACAGTAGGTTATTGTACGTAATCTTGCGAGTACCGGCAGTAATGACGCTTGTACTGAAGCAGTAAACAAACTGGTTTTTATAAGTACCGTCAGGACACAAAGGGTTAATAGCACCCTCATTAATCTACTCCATCACGAGTGCCAGAATGCGTTTTTTATTGTTTTTTTACTAAGCCCTGTCTACAGACCCTTGGTGAGGTGTCTCTCTTCTACACCGCTTCAACTCTGGCTACTTTTACTCGCGGATTATTGCGGGTGTTGAGTTGGGGAGGCTTGTCCGCAACGATGAGGTACACTGGCGATTACTATTCGTTGACTATTAGGTCACTTTGGTAAAGCAACGAATTGGCTTGGACAAATTGGGTTGTTCCGGCTACGCGCCAAGTGTGTTGTTTTGTTTGCTGCATTTCGGATGGTGTAAGACTCGTTTGGCATCTACGGATCTGGCGGCGGGAGGTGAATTTACTGGTGATTAATCTGAGTATTATTTATTCGGTTCACATTGCACACTTAAGCCCATGCGGCCTGCCTATTACTCATCTTAATACCTTGCAGGACATGGTTTGGAACCGGTTCCGGTGATGCGTTTATTGTTGTTTACTAACCGGGCTTGTTGCACCTCAAAAGGCAACTCTTATCTTTTGCGTACAATTTCATTGCTGATCACTTGTACCTTATTCTTTCTTGTTTTACCCCACTTACACTACGCCCATGTTGGCCTACATTCAACTAGACACTTTCTCGCTTGGTGAGTCACGGCTGACCGCTTCATTTGTTTGTAGCCCATCACGAGTACAGTCCACTGTGTCGGACTTTTCTGATTTCTAGTACCTGCACTCGATTACGCGCATGGTATCGGACCAGTATTTGCTAATCCTATAGGCGAACCCAGCGGCGTCGATCTGCTTCCGGTGGACTGACTTCGGGATTTGGAGTATGCAGACGACATCGCCGTAATTTGCACTTTCTCACAGACCGCCCAAAATGTTCTGCGTAGGTTGGAGATTGTCTCCCAGTTTGGAATGACCTTCGCACCACCGAAATGCAAGGTTTTCCTGATTAGGCGTTACTCCTGACCTTACCCTTCTAGGTCATTCATTAGAAGTGGTGGACACGTACGTTTACCTCAGAAGCTGCCTCAGCGCTAATGGTTTAACGGATGAGGTTTTCTTGCTCGTCTCCAAGGTTTGGGTTGCTTTTGCCAATCTCCGCCATCTCTGGCGCTGAGGTGATCTGAGTCTAGCTCTGAAGGGCCGAGTTTACAATGCCACAGTAAGAGCGGTTCTTCTCTATGGCTGCGAGACTTGACCTGTTCGCGCAAAGGATGTTGAGAGTCTGTCCGTTTTTGATCACCGCTGCCTTCGGAGCATTACTGGTGTACGATGGCAACATCACACTAGGAATGAAGATATTCGACGAAGGATTTTCAGGTCAGACAGACTTTGCCGGCCACTGAGCACTATAATTTCTCTTCGTAGACTTCAGTGGCTTGGGCACGTATTCCGCATGCCTACTCATCGCTTACCTCTCCGTGCCCTCTTCTCGCACGCAGAAGTCGGCTGGAAGCGATAGCAAGGTGGCCAACGTATGACTTGGGCCAGAACCATGAAGGGGCTAACGTCAAAGTTAGCCGTGGTCAGGCGCTCTCGGCTCCCTGGCTAGAGTGCGAAGGATTCGGAACGCAAATGACTGGAAACGCTCTCGGATATTGCGAGAAATCGTGCACAATGGCGGACTTGTTATGACTCACTATTCCCATGAACATCAGCTTTTTCCTCTATCTTCGTATGTTTATTGTATTTTCCATACTTTGTGGCACTATACCAATTGTACTATTGGCCGTTTTGAATGAATGAATGAATGAATATATATATATATATATATATATATATATATATATATATATATATATATATATGCGCTGTACCATTTGGGGCCACTACAGAAGCGACGACGGGTCCTGCAGAGAATTACGACGAGCCGGCGCAGCGTTTGTAGGCAGGCTGAATTCGATTTATTAACCGCGTGCTTGCATGCTAAGTCTCTTTGTTTCAAGTGGTGGGTTTACAGTTTTTACCTTAATGCTTTTCTTTCTCATATAAATATCTCTCTGTACTCTATTCCATTAACTTGCGCACATCGCTTCAGCCATTTGTATTCGATTTCCGTAACATCTTTGTGTTCGTGACATTCCGTGAACTATACTTCCTGACCTCGTGCACTTAGCTAGGATTTGTTTGTAAACAACTTATTACGTATGCTATTTAATTAAGGTTTATATCACCGTTTCCTTATGCATTAATCGAGTTTTTCTCTTTTTCTTTCTCTTTCTCTCAAGTGTTTGGCTGTTGTTTGATATCCTTGGTGTGGCTGCGCTTGATGTGCATGTTGACAAGGTGCCTACCTGTCTATTACCCACTACCTCGTCCATACTGGCTCCAGGAGACAGTTGGTCGTTGCTGGAGGGGACGGGGTGCACGGTCCTTGTGGCCGTGTTAGGCTCGAAGAGTGGTTCCATGCACTCAGTATGGAGCGGACTACGGTCCAGCCACCGCCTTGTGTGCGGTTGATTCCCCAAATACAGTGTGCTTGTGTTTGCCTGTGAAGGAGTGTGGACCGGCTCCGTTGATGAAACGTGGCTCCCATCCACATGCCTCCCGGTCTTATTCCTTCAGGTTTACACTGGATATGGGATGGGTGTGGTTGGAGCTGTGGGTGGTGCAGCGCAAGCCACCCGTGGTCCCTCTGTAGGCGCAGGCGTCCTGTGGCTTGCCACAGTGACAGGCAAATCCGAAACCGGATGCCGCCAACCATATATATATATATATATATATATATATAAAGGTTATTGATGTCCCTGTTTTTATTACAATCCTGTGTCAAGTCAAGTCAAAATAAGCTTTATGAACCCTAATTGTGTCATTCGACAAGCCACCACAGTGGCTAGATTTTCCATATGACTTGGTTGTGAATTATTGCTCCATGTTGTTAACCTTACATTCGGTATTTTACTTTCGGGATCACTTCTGACGGAGCCGTCCTTTATGCTTTTTTATAACATACCATCATAGTTTTTCCTCTTATTATTCTTGCAGCTACAGTCACGGTACATGCTCTAGGTCACTTCGTTTTTCGAGCAACACCCTCGTAACACAGCAGCATCACATCAGTACTTTGTGTTTATGCTTCACCGCTCCGAAAACAATCGCCGTTCTGTTCTCGGTGTCCGTCAATCAAACACGCTGTCAACCACACAGAATGCGAGAAAATAGGTGGCCGTTGATGAATGATATATCTCCGGATAGAACCCGGAATAATTGATCGAAGTGTGAAAAAGGTGTCAGAGTTCAGGATAGTATCAGTGAGGAACTAGAGTGTAGAGAAAAGTGGCTTCAGTTAATGAACATAAAAGTTAACCAAACGAGCGAATTCGTTTGAAGATATCCCTTCTAAGAATTGCCCTTCTTTGTGATGGATAAAATGGAGAATATGTGGTAACCTCTTACAGGATGTAATCTTCTAAGTCAACGTTCGTAGTTGATTTGCACACTTCTCTAGCAATGTACGGTCATAACTAGTCAGTTCTCGCAAGAAACATGGTTGTTAATCTAAATCGAACTGTGAAGGAGTCGCACCATTTTCATTCTAATCACTACTATTGCTTGACAGCTGCTTGTTGCAATTGTTAGCACGTAGGTCTGTAGGGTTGGATTCATCAGTCGTATTACTGCGATTTTAACTTCGTGTAGTTTCTAATGGTGCACTTGCTTACGTAGATGTATCGTCATACACTCTCATTATTTTCAGTCACTTTCCGAAACTAACAATTTACTGATTAGGTTTTTTGCCCCTACTTTAATATTCCTCTTGTCATTGTAAGTTTCTTGCATCGTTAGAATCATTTGCGTTGTTTCGATTTTCCCCTATGTTTGGTTGAGCAACTCTAAACCTCCTTTAACCCATCTGCTCATATTTTTGGCTCTTTGATGATGGTTTATGTTACTACTTTTAGCTTTGTCCCTTCCGATCTTTGCTATCTTCGCGTATCTCCCGTTCCGGGACATTCCTCAGCTTTAATCACAATCCATTCCTACGTGCACCAATGTGCTCTGAGTCTTCGAGTCAGCATCGATGTATTCAGGATGGACCGCGTTTTGACAACCTCGCCTTACGATCACTTCCCGTTGACTCTGGACCTAACCGTACCAGAACCGTGAAGGGGGCCTGTTTTACCAGAGTTAAACCAACACCACTAGACTCGCCACAACTGGTCGTTGCATCAAAAGATGTGTTTGAACTTTTGGACCTTCCAGCCAATCTTGTGGATGCCACCGAAGAATTATCAGTGGAACGCACAGTTTTGACTGATTATTTGTCTGGAAATAAGCAATGGCCCGGGAGTGAGCCTGCTGCTCATTGTTATTGCGGTCACCAGTTTGGCAGCTTCGCTGGGCAGCTAGGTGATGGGGCGGCTATGTGAGTTCCTGTGCAATAATACAAACCATGTTCCAATTCTTTCAACATCAACATTGGATATTCGGTCTCGAAAATGGCAACCCTTCTATAGTTTTGGATTGTTTTGTTTTTTGATTTATTGATACCGCTTAGTCCGTGGATTCAGTTATATCACATGTGACCGATCTCGCGATATACTTGTGAGGTGCTACTCAGATGTTAATCGCAAGAGGGGGCATGTAAGGCGTACGGAGTACGGAAGTAGGGGGAACAACTATATTGTCTGGACCCAAGGTGTACTGACAAAACTACAAAGAATAGAGAGCAGATAAACAGAGGCAGACAGTAATACCTGGCGTGACTCACGAGGAGAACAAGTGATCGGTATGCACAATCAGCTAAACAAATAGACGATCGGTGGATATAAAATCCTGTCTCAACATTCTGAAAGCATAAATGATTCATGTCCACTACCTACTCAACCCACGCGCTACTATTGGCAACTGCTTGGCAGCGAAGCGTCGGTACTGTGTGCCGGCCTATTACTGATTCATTCTTCTTCCTTTGTTTATTTAAGGTAGTAAAAGTCACTTCTTTTTACTGTCTTGTGATGTAGCTAATGTGAAAATTTCAAAGCGGTACCATTTAAAGATCACTATAGTTCGCACGAAGTTAGGTATGAATTGACTCATTTGCATGTTCACAATATTTGTAAGTGGGTCACCATGTCGTTAGATGTCCGAATGCTGACGGTTTAAATAGCTGGATTGAAAGAAGCCTTTCCTGGCTAGCACACCCAGAGTGAGAAAGGAATTCTGAAGCCTTCAAACTGGTTGTGCCATTAGCCATGTTTTATCTGGCCGCTAGACTGTTAAAGACAAGGGGTCGAGGTATGAGTTCACTGTTCATAACACGTTGGGAAGACAGTTCGGGTGTATTCCTTGGCTACCATCCTATATGGCTTGATCCACTGGTAGCCCGAGTTGCTCGTTCCTGGGTTCAGCTGCTCGCCGAGCTTCGCACTTGGCATGCAAACGTTTCATCACCACACGAAGTGACTTCCTCAGTGCGCTGCTAGGGCAAACCTAATCCGCTGAGTCGGTCGTCGATTTGTGATTGAATAGCAAGTGGCTTTTTATTGATCTCCTCGGTCTGTGCCCCATGACCATCCGCCTGCCCAACTTCTCTAATGGGCATGGGCGATCCGTGATATAGTTTTGCTCCGGCTGTGGTGTTGACGGCTCGTTTAGCTGTTCAGCACAACAGCCGGGGCAAAACCATCCCACGGATTACCCGTGTCTTTCAGAGAAGTTGGGCAGACGGATGGTCACGGGGCACAGATTGAGGAGGTCAATCCAAAAGTCACTTGCTAATCAATCACAAATCAACGACCAACTCAGCGGATTACGTTTGACCCAACAGCGCACTGAGAAAGTCACGTCGTGTGCTGATGAAACGTCTGCATACCATTTGCCAAAATCGGTGAACAGTTGAACAAAGAAGCCATCCTATATGTTAGTCTTTCGGACTCATTTGTTGGAGGGAAGAGTAGTCATCATGTTTACTCTTTACTTTAGTGGATCTTATTTACTAGCTCGGTTAGATATTGGAAACGACATACTGTGTTCTTATTTTCGGCCTCTATTAATGAGCACAGTGGGAGAATGAATATGATCCAGCTTCCATCTGGATCACAGTGTTCTATTGTTCAAGGTGTGATTAGCCTCTCGCGTTTCGTTTGGTCCATACTTTAACTGTCTTCTGTGTGATGACAGGTGTATCATACCAGAGTGAATGGGTGGGTCAACCGAGCGAGCCAAATAGCCGATGGTCAACGGGTGTAACTGATTTGATTGCTGGACATGGATTGGCCGACATTCATATGAGTTACTCATCGTTTGTTTGAGTCAAAGGGTCTTTAGTTGTGGACGTAAACGCGTAACTTACATCGAGGCGTATGGCTTGCCAAACGTGCTGTAATTTTTGCCGAGTTGTCTTTGCCGAATAAACTCTTGTCTCTGTAGGACTGAGTTCTGCAACATAGTGTCAGAGAAGACAAGGACGAACCCCATCGGCGGCGATCGGATGCTGTTCGGATCACCAGCGGCTCTTCAGATGTCTGCCTCATTAACCATGAATGAACGGGTCCTGGCGAGTAATTGTCGTTTATGGAGAAGCAAGTAGCCATATTTCTGATCATTAGAACCTTTGGACGAACTACCGATGGCGTATCGCTTGGTCATGTCTCGACACGCAGCAGGACATGACGCACGCCGTGTTCTAGAGACATTGCACTGCGACAAAGGCGAAGATCCCAATAATTTACAGACGGTCATTAAAAAGTTCAGCGAATTTTGTGAGGGTCAAACCAACGAGACCTATCAGCGCTATCATTTTTTTCGCGCAATAGAGTCATAAACGAATCCGTATACGCGCACATCACTGAATTGAAGCTTTTCGCCCGATCCTGCAATTTCTGTAAATGCATGGGCAACAGTCTCATACCCGATCGTATCGTTCTGGGAATCAATGATGAAAGTACGACAAAGCGGCTTTTGCGACAACGCAAGTTATCGCTTTAGCAGTGCATCGATATCTGTAACCTGGAGTCCTCGACCACCTATCAATACCAACAAATGAAACTTGCAACAGAAGCAGAATTGTGTGCCGTTTCCGGACGCGAAGCAACCAAGGCTACTAACGAGAGACAGGATAACTGCAACTTGCGTCGTACGACACCCGAGCTCTCGTGAACAGTGTCTGACGTGGGGACGGAAATGCACCAGATGTGGAAAAAGGAACCACTTTGCTCATTGCTGCCAATCAACCAGTGTGAGTGCGGTCGCTCGTGACAAGTCGCCCGCAGATGTAGAACATTAAATTGGCAGCGTGTCTCAGTGGGTGCCGCAAAAAGCTGTCTACGCAATTCTTTTGATGGGAGACAAAGCCGTACGATACCACTTAGACACGGGAGCTACTGTCAACATTCTACCATGGAAATTGTTTCGGAGTGTGCCTTCGGTGTGAACAAGATTGCCTGCGCATGTGGAATGGTTCCAGACTTATTCCGAAGGGCCCGGCTACGGTCGAAGTGATTAACCTAAGGAACCGACCGTCATACCGACTGGAGTTTGTGGTCGTGGATGAGGAGCTCACGCCGATACTCGGCATTGAATCGATCTACTTTCTCGGTTTTGTTTTTAATTATGATCGTTGCGTGCATGCTTGCCATGGAGAAACAGATATTAGGGACTAATATCCTTCTGTGTTTAGCCCGGGTTTTTGAAAATTTGAGGGAACCGCTCACTTAGCGTAAGATCTTTTGATATGGCCGACAGCGTTACTGGCTAGGAGAGTTCCATTCACACTGCGTGACATTTTTCGTGCTGAGTTGAGCAAATTATTGAGAGGGTATGATTGCCAAAGTCGACGTACCAACTGATTGGGTTAGTCAAATCGCAATCATTACGAATAAGACGAGCAAACTGCACGTATTGATCCTAAACCGTTCAATGAGGTCCTGCGTAGAAAGCATTATGCGCTACTTACCCTAGAAAGACATCTTGCCGCGCCTGGCCAGAGCTAAATATTTCACCAAGGTAGACCTGTCTTCCGCATTGTGGCATGTGGTTCTTAATAAAGAATCCAGTTTCCTGACTCCATTTGCAGCACTGTTCGGGCGTTATCGTTGCCTGCATTTACCGTTTGGTCCAAAGTTGTCAAGTGAAATTTCCCGAAAATGATTGCTGCAAGCGCTAAACGATTTACATGATGTAACATGTGTGGCAGACGATGTTTTAATTTATGGCTCGACGCAACGACATCATGACGCTAATCTCCACCGTTATATGCATCACTGTGTGCAAAAGAACATCAGGCTTAACTGCGAGAACATTGAGCTTCGAAAAGATGAGGTGATTTTCCATGGGCATGTGTTAACTACCCAAGGGATCCGGGTCGATCCAGGAAAAATCAAGGCACTACGAGAGATGCCACCTCCTATCTAGGTGACAAGAATACATCGCTTAAACGGCATGATGAATTATTTGAGACGTTTTATGCCTAGACTCGCTGGTATCATGACGCCCATCAGGGAGTAAACTGGTTGCGGAAAGGCACAGGAAACCGCGTTTGCAACTATTAAGCACCTTATCAGCAACCCGCCTGTACTTGGATATTCCGATCCAGTGCAGCCACTGGAGGTACAGTGTGACAGTAGCCAGGAAGGAATAGGTGCTGCACTCTTACAGAATGGAAAACGTTTGGATTTCCGCAGCCATGCAGCGCTATGTGTAGATTGAGAAAAAGATGCTCACGGTTCTCTATGCTATGGAGCGTTTCAACGACTATACTTTCGGAAGAAAGACAACTGTATACCGACCACAAACCGCTCATGTCGATAGCCAGAAAACCGCTGCACATCGTTCCCCATCGTCTTCAGCGTATGTGTATCCGGCTTCAAAGCCACGACGTGGATCTTGTGTACACGCTTGGTGCACAGATGTTCATTGCGGGAATGGTTGTACCTACTCACGGTGGATTACTATAGTGATTATTTTGAAATCGATTTACTCGCCACTACGACCACTACGCTCACAACCAAGTGGGAATTCATGCACCAGAAAACTAGCCCATATCACATCCAAGCGAATGGAAAAGCAGAGTTAGCAGTGAAGCAGGCCAGGCTACCGTTATTAAAGGCTAGAGCTACTGGCGAAGACCCGTACCTCATGTTACTGGTGAGTCGCAACACACCTTCAATGGACATCGGTTTAAGCCCAGTGCAGCGTCTACACAGTCGAAGGACTAGAACGTTGATGTCGGCATCTACCACACTTTTGCGCCCAGTTTCGCCACAGCATGAGAGGTTACGGAACCATCTGAGAAGACGACTGACAACCCAGAAACGGTACTACGATCGCAGTGCATGGGTGCTGCCTGAGCTAACAGTGGGGGAGGAAGTGTGGGTTCAACCAGTACCCGATGGTCAAAAGCGGTGGAAGGAAGGTGTGGTGACTGCAAACATCGGTGCAGGGTCATACGAAATAAATGTTGGAGAGAAAACGCTCAGAAGAAATCGCGTTTATTTGACAAGACACCGGAGACAACGATGTGGAGTTCCCGATGGCATGTGGCAGGAGAGCATGACAGCGGATACAGCTAACGTGACGCGGTGGCACTGCGTATGGGGTGTATAACAATATGGAGGCCCAAGGGCACGAAAAATGGGCGGATGTGATGGGGGTGTCATACCAGAGTGAACTGGTTTGTCAACCGAGCGAGCCAGATAGCCCATGGTCAACGGGTGTAACTGATTTGATTGCTGGACATGGTGGATTGGCCGACTCATGTGAGTTACTCATCGTTTGTTTGAGTCAAAAGAACTACCTCATTGCCTCAGTAGGATCTTTAGTTGTAGACGGGAACGCGTAACTTACATCGAGGAGTATAGCTTGCCAAACGAGTAAATGCTTGTCCCTGAAGAGCTGAGTTCTGCAAGATTTTGGGTCGATCGTGGTACGTATCCATGTTCCGCCAGAGTGCGATCTAGCTGCGTTGAATATGTTTTTCCCAGCGAAGATTGAAACCTATTCTTTATTTTAATTTATTTGCTCTCAGAACCTCGCTCCACCCACTTACCTTCTCTTCAGAGGTTAGCTGTCACCGTTCTAGTATTCTTTTCCAATGTGAGTCAGACGCTTTCTTCCCAAGGTGACCATGAACTTTCGTCTGCAATCATTTTGCACTAGATCGCTTTTCAACTACCTTCGGGTATTCATACATGCAATTTGAATCACTTTTTTGTTCAGCTATCTGGGAGAAGTGATTAATAAGAGAGGCGAACGCTGGGAGCTTCAGCTCAAGGGGGCTGGCTTAACACCGTTCTCCCGTAGTGCCGATGGTCGAAAAGTCTTGCGTTCAAGTCTGCGTGAATTTCTTTGCAGCGAAGTAAGTTTGTTTATTATAGTTCAGTTTATAAATATCCAATAGGTTTTGCCCGGTGTTAATAAGTCGCATTCAGTGTTTAGCTTCGTTGAATTAACTTAGCAGCTCCTGACTAATCTAACGAGTCTCGTTCCCTTTTATGTATTAGCCACCGGTGGCGCTGCAGCCAAACACGAACTATATTAAAACAAGCATTCAGACAAGGAGGATAGAAAAACACTTTTCTTTTCAGGTTTGGTCATCAGTGGTTGAAGAGGAAGCAGCTGCAATAGATCCGAAAGTCCCCCGCTTCACCATAATTGCCAGAACTCTTATTCATTTCTGATACCTGTCCGGTTTTTCTGTAATTGTGAACGACGAGCTCAAACATGACTGTGTCGGGATGTTGTGTTGTACTCCACGCGATGTTTTACAGACTTTTCGCCACCACACTAGGCGACAACACAGCTGCAGCTTTCATTTAAGCGCATTAATGATTGGAGACATCCGATAAAGCATTTGCCTGTCACCGCGGCCTCCATTGAACAGTCACAGGAAGCCTGCGCCTACAGAGGGACCATTGGGTGGCTTGCGATGGACCACCCACAGTTCCGTTCACACACCTCATATTCAGTGTAAACCCGAAGGAATAAGACCGGGAGGCATGTGCATGGGAGCCACATTTCATCAACGGAACCGGCCCACTCTCCTTAAACGTGCACAGCAGCATCATTCCAGTATAACTTTTGGAATCATGCTCACCAGACGTACACAAGCCGGTGGCTTCGCTTCAGCTCGTTACACATTTGATGCATAGGACTACTCTGAGCCTATCACTGTCACGAGTACCGTGCACCCCATCTCCTCAAACAACGACTAACTGTCTCCTAAAGCCAGTGTAATCGAGACAGCTGTTTCTTTGACAGGTAGGCGCTTTGTCAACATTCACATCAAGCGCAATCACATCCGAGGGTTTCAGTTAACAACCAACACCTGCGATGCTTGAATACCATCATGGTGTTAAGTACACGTACAGACCCACTGCAGCCGTGATGTTGAACTCATGCCACATGGACCACATTCTTAGCCTTGCTTAGTCAATGGAATCGGAAACAACCAACTTAATAAGCGTCGCGTTGATGATGCTTATCTATTCAGCTAACTCTTCGCGTTTCCGAGGTTCGCCCGGCTTGACTACGCTGGTGGCTTACGAGACCAGCTTGGCTGAAGTAATCGCGACCGCAGGTGCTACAGCGCCAAGTATTTGAAATGGATGGGTTAGACTCCATCAGCGCCTGTCGTTTCCGTATCCAGCGTTTCTCTTTCACATGCAACAACTCTTTCTCATGCACCTGAGCAACCGCCTTCTTGGTGTGCTCTCGCCATTAGCACCCATCCAGTGCCTTTGATTGCCAACACCTAGTACCAACATTGATTCGTGTTCCTGCCCTGATAACGTAGCTTCGGTTTTCCCACGTTCCGCTTCCGTGCACGCAATTGACCACATCGCAGTCGTTTCGGTATCCTCCTCGAATCCATGCTGCAGACATGTCCGAGCCACTTCAGGTGCCTCAGCAGAAGTATACTGTCCACTGCATACATGTCACCGCGGCACAGCACTTCCAAGCTAACATTTCGGTCACTCTAACCGATACGCAGAATATGACGCAGGTACCGTTGATGGAAATGCTCCAGGTATCGGATTTCCTTCCGGTACATTTTCCAGCTTTCGTTACCTTGCAGAAGAATAGACAGCATCATCGACCGGTGCATCGGCAACTTCGTCCTGTTGGTCCACACGCGATTTCCCAGCTTGCCAAATGCAGCGGCCACCTTCAATGCGCGGATGCGCAGTTCGCTCGTCATTTGGACCTCCGTTGGAAGTGCGCTCCCGCTTTAGCAAAATCTCCATGGGTTATTCGAAACCACGTCACAAATCTGAATTTGGAACAGACCCACGGATTCCATTCCTGGTAAAAACATAGAAAGACAGTCTTACTTGTGTTGAAGATGAGTCAGAATTTGGCCGCTGTCGACGCGAGAGCCCTCATCGTGCGCTGCATCTCATCCTCGCTGTATGTAAGCAATACACCGTTGTCCGCAAAGAGCAACATACGGATAGTTGTCTCGCACACTACTATTCTTGCTTTGATAAGACGGATGTTTAGCAATTTATCACGAATACGATGCTCCACACGAACACTGTAATCACAGGCAGCATCAAAAGCACATGACAACATTGTGATTAGGTAAATATTAAACAGATCAACACACAGTCTTACTTCACATCAGCGACAACGTTAAAGTCATCTGAGGTTTGTCCACAGAGCTGCACCCCCGCCCGCGTACCACTGTACAGATATTCGTTTCGGATAGCAAGCTTACACGGGCAACCGAAATTACCCAACATCAATCACACTGCCTCGCGGTTCGCCGTGTTAATTTTTTGGTGAAGTCAGCAAACAACGTGTACATTGGTTGGTGTCTCTCTGTATTTCTCCTGCACTTGACGAGGCGCGAACACCATATCTATGGTGCTGCGGTCCGAACGAAATTCGCATTGAGTTCCGCTATGTTCGGCGCAATGATCTGAATGAGGAGGCGGTTAAGCAGCATTCGGACGATCAATTTCCCTTCACACCTCAGCTTTTTAATGCCGCGATAATTTTTTGGCACATTTCTTGCTCCCTTTGGCCTCTTACGGTAGTAACACAAGGGCATCATTCACTTTAAACCACATGCGCTGCACTAAGTAGTGCAACTCACTTACTGACTCGGATTCCCCGAGTTTCAACACTGGTGATATTCCGTCGGCACCGGTGTACTTGCCTTTTCCCAGCTGAGCAACTGCTATCTGCCTCTCATCAAGTATCAGTGTGTCGACAACACATCTTCATCTCTTGGTGTTGTAGCGTGCGCAACATGGTTCAGTCAAACTCTGAACAGTTATCCAAGAAACAGTCAAACTGTGTTCGCGGAATCTGCATTATGTCTGCAGTTGCTATGCATGCATCGTCTGACGTAGTATTGAACAGCGTTCTCACCGGCCGCAACGTGGATTCATACACCGCCTCCAAGAACTCAATGAATTTCTTGTGTTGGCAGAGTAGCATTCCATCTACTTCGCCTTCTCTGTCCCCCATGCATTCTTACTGCAACGGAGCTCTGAAGTCCATCACAACTCAATAGCAAAAATCACTCTTCTCATCATCGGCAGTTATCCATATGCGCAGCAAACGCTACATTCTTCTACGACACCAACGCGTCAATGGTCGCACTATTGTCATCAGACCAATCGGGCTGCTTACCGTTTGCGCGCCCGATGCAGCAGCCGTCACCTGTTCAGGTATGTGGTGCCATAGGACACTCACTGAGGCGTTGGATTCGCCATCACCAAGGTGGGTAGCCATCGCCTTCTCCAGTTCCATGCTCTTCTCAGAAGTATCAAGGGAAAGAACATTAAGTTTACACAGGTTCACTACATATGGGCAACACAAGGACTTACTAAAATATACGCACAATTTGCTCCTCACCAAATTGTGTTCAGTGCCAATTAGCTCCACGCAGTACACGTGTCATGCGCACTTCACGCATGTCACGCTGCCTTACAATGACATATTCGAGCAGATGAACGGGATCACTCCGTGGATGCGTCCAAGTTGCTGTCACTCGCGCAGGGTTCAAAGTGTTTGTTCGTGATCGTCACCCCGTGAGTGGCGCACCGTGATAGCAACCGGTTCCCGTACCCATTGGCTGTGCCAGTATCATGTGGACCGATTACGTCTGTCCACGCCGCGGCATCACGCCATACGCGCGTGTTGCAATCACCCAGTTGGTACAGGCCGTATCACGAAGGATAGCTGAGTGTATGATTGGTCCCTCATGTTATCAGTATAACAAACTGCCTACCATCTACCTATATTGACATCTTTGAGGTTCGCGGGTTATGAAAAGTGGCAAACCTACCTCTTCCAAGTCTCAGGTGAAGAGTCATCAGTTGTGGGCTAATGCCGCTCAGTACTTTTACCAGCTGGTCATTTAGACGCCTAGATAGTGCATATCCGACTACATGTTCACGTGATGCTGTGGTGGTGTTTCCCACTCGGTAGAACATGTAACCAACACGATCCTCATGCCGGTTGTCATGGTCAGTGAACCGTGCCTCGCTGAGTGCGGCAATGTCAATGCCGTAACGCGCTAGTTCTATCGCGACCAGAGCAGTACATCGCTCACTCGTGTTCCGGTCGTGTAGCGTGCGCACGTTCCAGCACTCGATATTGAGCGCTTTACCCGGAGGCAAACGATAGTGCCAGACACTCGCTCGTGTGGTGACCTGTATTAGTGAAGGTAATGTATTGGTTATAATGTTGACTGGTAGAGGAAAATTTTGTTGGAAAGAAGTTAGATAGTACCACTCAGTTTAATGGCATTTCAGCTAATAACCTAATTGGAGGAACAAACCGGGTACGTTGATCCATACCCATGGGTACAACTTTCCTCAATGGTGATGTAATTCTAGTTGGTGTACTTTCACTTTTTGTAGTTTGTCCGTTTAGTGACTGGGATGCTTATCTCGATCGTTATCGGTCTTGTCAAGCTCACAGCACAGAATATGAGGGTGTGTGCGAAAAACTTCAACAATCACTGCGAATTTAACTCTCCCTTAACTCATTGCAGTGCCAGAGTGTCTTTTGCTAAGTGGTACGTGGTCGACTTCTCTGCGTCTCATAAGGTGACCCCACCGTTTATGAGCTGTCTTCTTCAGACATTCGAAGTTCTCATCGTATCTTCTCCCGTTCTTTTCAACATGCATCAATCAATTGTCTTCATTCCCTCAACATTGCCTCTGCTTTTGGCCGGCAATCCTATATATCCATTGTTACAAAACATCCGATAGTTTAATAACCCACACGAATATTATACGAGCGTCAAATATTTCTATACATTGGCCATCGCTGGTACTCCCACTATGTTGTACTAACGGAGGCTGTTTTTTCATCCTGCGGCATGGCTGCAAGAACTTGACGATCGTGACATCATTCTCGGAAGCGTATCGTCCCTCCGAGCCATAGTGATTCTCATGTGTATGATTGACGCCAGTTTTTGCTGCTACTATATAACCCTGATTACTTCTTATTCGTTGAACGACAGGTTCAGGGAACTGGGTCAGTTGTATTAGGATTCGTTACTCGAGGGTTTCCATAGAACACACTACAATCTTGTCCACATTTGTTATGTTATCTGACGAGCACTGTTCCCCCCCGCCCGGCGCGCTATATCTCGGATAGATTAACCATTAGTGTCTCTGATCTGATAGCCCATCACTGTTACCTACTTATAGTAGACTTCATCTTATCTCTCTTTTGTCTCGCTTCCGAACTTCAGCTACTCAACATCCGAGTTTTATTCTGTCCTCTTATCTTTTTTCGTATTTTTATGTCATCGTAAGTGGAGTTAGCAATTTCTCTGTAGAGCTATATAACCACAATTTTATCAGATTCTGTTGTTACTGGTCTATCCTACACCAAGCGCTGAATGGATGGTTTGATTTCTTGCGTCACCGCTGGTCATTGAACTTTGTCCTTCTTAATGGTTTCCTTTAGCACTAACTACGCTCTGTGCTTTCCGACTTTGCGATTTATCGAAATCCGATTAGCCACGTCTTTTTCTTAGTTGCTGAGGTTCTCGCTGCGATGTTACATGGTATGATATACCATGTTTCTGCTTACCTACTACTTACCTGTTTACATTCTTAAGGTTCGCAATACGGTTTCACTCTTTAGGCCATGTATTACCTTGGTATTCCGACCACTCGCGCAGCAAGCGTTGTCACATCAGACACGATGGTTCCTCGGGATGTGTTTTATACGGGCAACGTAATAATGGAACGTGCTTCTGTTACAAGTCGAGTTGCTCCCACTTTTATACGGTACGTTTTGTGAATATTCCTTACATTTTTTGATTGCACTTCAAACTTGTTCCTCCTCGATTGATGGTAACTAATATTAACGCACGGATTTGCGCTAGGCAACCGCT